GGTGAGGTTTTTTCATCTTATTTTTCTTTGCAAATTTTTTGTTCAAACAAAGGAGGGGTGGCTGGATTTCAAAGGTGGTTAGCGGCGAGGCAAGGTGGTCGGAGTTCGGAGTGGCCGGAGATGGTGTTGGTTTTGGGTCTCGGGTAGTTTAGATGGTTGAAGATGCATGGATTCTTTTTAATTCGGGTTCTAGATTTAAGATCAAGAACAACTTGGTAGGTTTTGGGTTTTTGATTTGAAGATAAAGAAGAAAGTATTTTTGTTGTTTTAGATCTAAAAAACAAGAAAGGAGTTTGGTTTTTGAAGATTACACAAGAAAAGAATTGAAGAACAAGTTTGATGTTCTTGTGTTTTTTTGGCTTTTGATCCTAAAAAACTTTTAGGAAGAATTTTGGTGTTTGTGTTAGATCAAAACGAGTCTTTGGGATGAGTTTAATGATGGACAAAATATGAATGTTGAAGAACTTGGGGGTTCTCCTTGGGTGAATTTCGATTAGATGAGAGTATTTGGGGAGGAGGAAATTTTTGAAGTGTTGAAAATGAGGCTTGTGTTAAATTCTTGCCTTTTATAATGTGTATTTTTGGGGTAATTGCTTCATTAAAACCCCCTATTTTTAGTGTGTTTTCACTATGAGATGTGGCTTTTCCTTTATTTGATATTAGCCAGTAAATACTTGTAATTTGTTCCCCGAATTTCGATTGAACTCAATTTAGTCATCAATTTCATTGCAATTGCTTTTATTCTTTTATTAAATATGTTTAATTATTAATATTGACTGTCAATTATTGAATCTTTTAAAATGATCATTCGTTTAACTATAGAATAAAACCTTCAGATTTTTCAATCTTTTAATTCAATCACAAAAAATAAAATTAAGCCTTAGCTTTTTAATTAAAACCTTAGACTTTAAGTTCTTTAATTTTAGCTTTATTAAATAATTAGAGACTTAGTTTAAGTTCTTTTAATTATATGTTAATTAAGTTTAGAATTATCCTTTTAGGATTAATTTCTTTAATAAAATTAATTAGAAACAATTAATAAATTCATAATTTGATTAAAATAGAATATTTATTTGTTTTTTAATATTGAAAGGAATGGTCTTAAAATAACTAGAAATTTTTTCAATATTTTCAACTAAATAAATGTTCTACCAGTGGTTACTCTAAAAAATTAAATATGTTCATTAATTAAAATAAAAGGGTAGAGGTTTGTTCCTACGTTTAAATTGCTAAGGACACGCTGTTTGATTAACGTCAAAGGCTTGGTTTTTGTTCTTTAAATTAAGGAACATCCTCATTCTTTTAAATAATAATTTGACTAACTTGTCACCTTTATTTCTCTTTTAGGGTTTAATAATTGGTTAATATTCTATACTTTTTAAGGATGGTAATATTTCATTATTTTGATTAAAACATAAGAAATAATCACCTTAATTTCGATTATGGGTTAGTTTCTTCTTTAATGGAAATGGATAAATATTGTGTGTTTCTCAAAAATTCTCTAATTAGGTTAAATATTCTTATTTTTAGGGAATAAAATGATCATTAATTAAATAAATATTCGATTTTTAATTTTCAACATAAGGACTAATTTATAATTGGAGGTACCAATTTTTGGACGTTGTGGGGGTGCTAATCCTTTCCCAAGAGTAATTGACTCCCTAATCCATAATCTCTGAATCATAGGTTGAATCCTGTATTTTTATTTTTTTTTAAATTAAAATGGTATATCCCGGGTTTTCAACCTACTCAATCCCAAAGGTTGATGGTGACTCCAAACGTTTTAAATATTTTCTAAAATTTTGATTTTTAATTCTGATTTTCTAAATTTATTCTGAATACGCCTTCGAGAAAAAGTCATCACGACACCTAGATGTAGTCGGAGGAATTTACGTGCATCTCAGACACACACTAGTCTACCTATATGTTATAGCCTCAGGGTAAGAACCGAAATCTTACATGCATTTGATCTTAGGGCCCTTAGTCTTTTACGAATTCCCGAGATGTCAGGGGAGGACTAAAATTCTACGTACTTCGAAAGCTCATTTCTCGAACCTAGTCAAGCATAAGGAACAATTTCAATATTTACATGCATCAAATTTCGTACCAAAACGACTCAGAATTTACTGCATCAGTTGCATACCATCAAAAAATATTGGGATACTCACAACAAAGGATGATCATCATAGTGCTAGAGTAACTCGTGTGTCCAAACCGTTTCCCGAGTGACACATAGGACAATCTTATATCATCCTATCTTGCTTGATTTCTAGATGAGAAATTAACGATCTTGATTGTTTTCACTTGTATTGAATACTTGTAGCTTATACGAACTCAAAACCTCAGTCTGAATACCCAAATCAATTAACCAAAATTACCCAAAACTCATTATTGGTATCGATATTGTGCCAACAGTATCGATACTAGACCCTTGGGTATCGATAGATGTTTTGAAAATTATTTTTGGTATCGATACCCCTACGAGGAGTATCTATACTCTACCCTGGGAGTATCGATACCAAATTTGGCTTCAATTTTTCAAAAATACCTTAGTATCGATACTAACTATATGAATATCGATACTAGACCCCGAGTATCGATACGTCTTGAATGGGTATGGATATTCCCCTTATAAATTACTTGCTTTTCTCCTTCCACGAAGAACAGTATCGATAATGTTCTTCCATTATCTATACTATTGGACATGAGTGCTCTATTTTGAGCACAAAAACATACCCAAATCTCACCCATTCACTGCCCTAAGACTAACAAACATTTTTAAAGTATTATTTAGTGTCTTATAGGTCAAAAGGTGTCAACTTTCATTCTCGTAACACACAAATACGAATTTCACCATGAATTTACTCTAACATGCTTCATGAACTAAACATACCAAAATACACATACCATGACTTACATGTGTATGGTCAAGTTAGAAACGTGTTTCCTTGAAGCTAGGTGACTGAAAAACGTCCTCGAATTATCCAAGGACTAGCGTTTCCTTTCCTCTAACTTTTGAGCTCTCTCATTGCTCTTGTACTACTCAAATCAAGAATAATGAGTTGTTAACTCATTTTGAACCTTAGGAAAAAGCTAGAAACGTTTTCTTATACCTTAAAACTCATAAAACAAACCAGAATTTAGGATTCTATAAACCCCTAGTAAAACCCGTTTTTGGCTAACTTAGCCAAATCTTACCAATCCTTAGAATTCAAAATGGAGGTTTGGATTTCTTAAAGTTCTAAGCTTTTCCTTGTTCTTGAAGAAAAATGGAGATAAGAGTGGAAAGAAAGAAGACAATGCTTTTGGTGATAAAGAGATGAAATGTTTCAGACGTAAGATCATGTTTCATAAAAGGAAATTAACTTTGATTTGAAATAATGGGTTAATTACTCTCATAGTCTTTCCACATTATGGTGCAGATTAAAAACACCATTTTTATAACTTCTTGGGCTCATCCTAAGCCCAAATAAAATGCTACTTTGGTCAAACTCTTCATGAGCTGAGATGATTTTATTCTAAGGTCCAAATAAAATATACCTGAAAGTCCTAACCAAGGATTCAGGGCATTACAATTCTGTCATCTAAAGAAGAAATTTCATCCTTGAAATTTACCTGAATAAAAGAGTTGTGGATACTGGAGCTGCATATCCTCTTCGAGTTCCCATGTCGCCTCCTCAACACCATAGTTCCTCCACAAAATTTTCACTAATGGTATCCTATTGTTCCTTAGCTCCTTGATGTCTCTGGAAATGATTCAAATAAGTTCTTCCTCGTACGTCAAGTCTTGTCTCACTTTAACTTGCTCAAGGGGAATAACGTGGGACAGATCATATCGATATCTTAAAAGCATAGAGACATGAAACACATTATGGATGCGTTCTAACTCTGGTGGCAAAGCTAATTGATAAACTACTAGCCTCACTCTCTCCAAAATCTCATATGGCTTGATAAAACACAGGCACAAAAACACGGGCTCAACTTACCCTTGTGACTAAACCGAAGTACCATTTTCCATAAGGAAACCTTGAGAAATATCTTGTCTCCCATAGCGAACTCAATATCCTTGTGTTTCAGATCGACATACGATCTCTATCTATCGGAAGCCTCTTTCAAATGCCTCTGAACCAATTAAACTTTTTCTTCAGTTTCTAGGATCAAGTCAGGACCTACAATCTTGCCCTCACTAAGCTTCGTCTAACACAATGGAGTTCTGCACTTGCGCCCATACAAGGCTTGATAGGATTCATCTGAATGTTTACCTGAAAACTGTTGTTGTACACGAACTCTACTAAGGGTAAGTGATCCTCCTAACTACCCTCAAGATCCAAAATGATTCACTTGAGCATATCCTCTAAAATCAGAATAATCCTTCAGACTACCCGTCTGTCTGAGGATGAAAGTGGTGCTATAATTCAGTTTAGTACCCAAAGCTCCATTAAGTGCTTTCTAGAACTAAGAGGTGAACTACGTATCTCTTTCGGATATGATCGAGATGGGGACCCCATGCAACCTCATAATCACGCAAATGTAAATATGATTCAATCTCTCTAACTTCTAGTCCATACAAATTGGAAGAAAATGAGCAGATTTGGTCAATCGATCCACTGCAACACATATAACATCATGCCAAAATCACATCATTGTTAGACCAGTTACAAAGTTCATCGTTATTATCTCCCATTTCTATTGTAAAATCCAAATAGACTGTAGAAATCTTAAGGTAACCTAGTGTTCAGCCTTGACTTTTTGGCACACTAAACACTTAGCGACAAACTCAGACACCGCTCTCTTCAAGCCCGGCCACCAATACAATGGTCAAAGTTCTTGGTACATCTTTCTTATACCCGATTAAACGGAGAGGGGACTATAATGAGCCTCATGAAGAATCATATCATGAAGTTTCTATCAGTCAACACACAAAAACGTACTCAGAAGTACAGTATGTGTCCATCGCGTAACTTAAAACCTAGGGCTTCACCTTGAAGGACTTGTTCTACTCAAGCCTTCAATCGGTTGTTCAAACATTGTAAACTCTTAACCTCATCCACTAAGTCGGGCTCAACTCTCAACTCGGCCAAAAGACAACCTGATTCCTTCAAACTCAGATGCGCTAGCAATGCTCGCAACTCCACTATGGTCTTTCTGCTCAAAGCATCTTCCACAACGTTTGTTTTACCTAGATGGTAGTCAATTACACAATCATAGTCCTTCAATAGCTCTACCTATCTTTGTTACCTCAAGTTCAACTCATTCTGAGTGAGCAGATACCTAAGGCTATTGTGATCCTTGTAAATGTAACACTTCTCTTCGAACAAGTAATGTTGCTAAATCTTCAAGGCAAAGACTACTGTGCCAAGTTCTAAATCGTGGGTAGGATATTTTCATTCAAGAGGCTTGAGATGATGAGATGCATAGGGCACAACTTTCCCTTCTTGCATCAAGATATATCCCAACCGATTTAGTGACGCATCACTAAACACAGTTAAGTCTTTACCCGATTCTGGTTAGGTCAAAATGGAAGCTTGTGTGAGGGTCACTTTCAAATGGTTAAAACTTTTTTGACGCTTCTATTCCATACAAATGGAACTCCTTTCTGAAGCAGCTTGATCAACAGTGCCGCAATCATGGAGAAACCCTTGGCGAAACAACAGTAATACCCTATAAGGCCTAAGAAACTGCACACCTCAGAGACATTCTTATGTTGTTCCCACTCTAACACTGCCTTAATCTACTGGAGATTCACTCGGATACCATAGGCTATTACAACATGGCCCAAAAACGCCAGTTTAGTACCCCCAATATTCATACTTCCCAAACTTGGCATATAACTGACACTCCCTAAGCATATGCAAAACAATACAGAAATGATGATCATGCTCTTCTTCGGACTGAGAGTACACCATAATGTCATTCGATGAATACCACCATAAATTGATCCAAGTAAGGATAGAAAACTCAATTCATTAAATCCATGAATGTCACCAGGGCATTGGTGAGTCCAAACGGCATCACGAGAAACTCATAATGGTCATACCTTGTCCTGAAAGCGATCTTGGCAATGTTGACATCCTTGACTTTCAGATGGTAATACCTTGACCTAAAATCTATTTTGGAGTACACACAAGTGCTTTTAAGTTGGTCAAAAAGATCATCGATATGAGGGAGAGGGTAATGGCTATTGATCGTCAACTTATTTAGTTGTCGGTAGTCGATGCACAACCTCATCTACCATACTTTTCTCAGCAAAAAGGATCGACGCTCCCTAAGGCAAAACACTCGATTGAATAAAACCCCTATCTAACAACTCTTGAATATGATTCGTTAGCTCATTCAACTCTGTCAGTTCCATGCGATATGGTGCAATAGACACTAGAGCTGAACCTGGCATAAGCTCTATGCTGAACTTGACCTCGCGGTCAAGAGGTGACCTCAGTAACTGTTTCGAGAACACATCAGATAACTCTTTCACAATACATATATCTTTTTAAGTGTCGGAATAGAAACCCGCGTATCCACAATATGAGCTAAGAATGCCTCACACCCCTAACTTAAACACCTCTGAGCTTTAATCACTGAAACAACCTTGGTAGTGTAACCCGAGCTCCCACTAGTCATCACTACCTTCGTCTCATCATCCTTATGAAGCTTGAGTTGTCTGTCTTTGCACCTCAAATTTGCGTTGTGCTTAGTAAGCCAATCCACATCCAAGATCACATCAAACTCCTGAAATGGTAGCTCCATCAAGTCAGCTAAGAAAGTATCACCTTGAAGTTTTACGGGGCAACGACGGTGAAACTTGTTAACCAATACGTCTAATCCTAGGGGACTAGACACTCTAAACCCTATTTCTAAATTCTTAACTATAATATTCCTTTCTAAAATAAGGCCATTGAATATATAGGAGTGGGTGGAACCTAGATCTACCAATGCAGTAACAGGAATAGAGAAAACCATAAAGATACATGAAATCACATTGGCAGTATCTCACTCCTTCTAGGCACGCAAGACATACTGGCGCGATGGTACTCTATTCTCCTAAATGGTCTCGGATCTAGCGGTACTCCTATTATATTGCCCTAAAATGGATCCACCACTCTTAAAGGACCCTCGACCACGCTGAACGGATGGTACGAATATTCGAGATGACATGGGGGCTAAACTCTAAGCTCGGGGGTAGTCTTAGACAAAATGGTATAACGACCCACAACTGAAGCAACCTCTAATCGCTTGGTAACACTCTATAGGATGTCTTCACCCGTATGTCACACAGACTCAGTGAGTTGGTGTCAATTTAGACCTACTAGCTCTCAAACCACCAATTGATGAAAAATGCCTCCTACATGAGTCAGGCCTGCCTCCACGATTGGATCTCTGAGCTACTTCTTTAGACGGCCCTGCTGGCAGTCTCCTTGAACTCTGTGGAACCTTGGCCCACTTCACTGATAATTGAGATGACCTAGTAGTCTTTGGAGCTCTCCGAATCTAACCTGTTGAGGTGCCCACCATCTGTGCTTTCTTGAGCATAATTCTCTCGATTGCTTTAGCCTGACGAGTCAAGTGCACAAAAGCACAAGGCGGGACCTACTATTAACTGGGTCTGAATATCCAAGAGGAGGCCCTCCTTGAACCTCCGACATTAGTGAGCCTCCGTTGAAATGAGCTTTAGTGCCAGAGAAATTTCATCGCATACTTAAGTACAATCCTGTTACCCTGCGTCAGATGCAAAAACATATCCCTCAGATCATCGGTATGTGGCTCCCTATTGTACTTCTCCCTGAAATCCTTCGAGAAGAGCTCCCAAGTGGGTTTCTCTGGCTTCATCATCATCTCAATGGCCTCCCACCAATCTATCGCATCACCCTTCAAAAGGGTAGTGACGTATTCAAGCTTGCCCTCAGGAGTGAGGTATAACTGATGTAACGTACGGAGTGTCTCCCTGATCCACTGGTCCGCAGAGATGATATTGTTGTTCCTAGATCCATGGAAGTCAGTTATCCTGTACCTATGAAGCCTCTCGATAGGGGACTCCTGAGGTGCTACAAGAGGTTGAACGGGAGGCACCGGAGGGGTAGGTGGCATAGTGGACAGATTCGGAATAGTACGAACTATCTACCTAAGGGTTGATGTCAGATTACAGAAAAATGTCACCTCTTCGACTCCAGCTTCCACAAGCATCTCCTATTCAAAATCTGGGGCATACTCGTCACCAAAATCTCTGGTTAAAAAAGCATGACTCTCCTCCTTGCCCTCATGACTAAGAACGTCATTGTCATCCATAATCAAATCCTAAAATTAGAAAGGAAAGAGAGGTCACTATCGTCATTCCAGAATCTTAAGTATAGTTGACACTCTAGGGGCATGTACTCACATAGTAAGTTACTGACTCTGACCCATGGGTCCTAGGAAAGACTAAACATGGATTCTCTGATACCACTAAATGCAATGCTCTAATTCAGTCCGACCTGAGGATCCATGGATTACGATGTCACACGGAACCACCAAAAGGGTCAACTCAAAATTTTATTTTCAAACGTTTAATAACGTCAAAATCATTCATCATAGATTGTGTAAAATTGAAATCGAGTTTACAAAATATGAGTCTCCGAATATGTGTAAATACATAGATAAAGTATAAATCAAAATAAAGTTATGACTCGATTATACAAAGGTCCATATAAAATACATGCCCTCTACAAATACTCAAGACAAACTCTGTAAATCGTCTAGTTTGGAATGTACTGATGTGATAGGCTCCTCAATGATCCCTCTACTAACCTGCACAGGGAAACACATTCTATGCGCTAAGCTCACAAACGTAGTGCCATAAGAATAACTAAGCAATACTACATGCATTCATTACATGAACATGTCGGCGCGTAAGTTATGAATATGCTAAGTAAACAAATAAACATGAGTTAGGACTAGATGTGGTCGGAGGAATTTACGTGCTTCTCGGACACACACTAGCCTACCTATACGTGATAGCCTCGGGGTAAGAACCAGAATCTTACATGCATAGGATCTTAGGGCCCTCAGTCTATTACAGATTCTCGAGAGGTCAGGGGAGAACCAAAATTCAACATGCATCGGAATATCACTTCCTAAACTTAGTTGAGCATAGTATACGATTCTAGAATTTGTGTATCAAAATTCGTACTAGTATGACCCAGAATTTATGTGGATTAGATGAGTACCATCAAATAATATCTGAATACTCACAAAAAAGGACGATCGTCAAAGTGCTAAAGTAACTCGAGCGTCCAAATCGTTTCCTGAGTGTCACACAAAGGCCAATCTTATGTCGTCCTATCTTGCTTGATTTCTAGGTGAGAAATTAACGATCTTGATTGTTTTCACTTTTATTGAATACTTGTAGCTTATACGAAATCAAAACAACTCAGTTGGAATACCCAAATCAATTAACCAAAATTGCCCAAAAATCATTGTGGGTATCGATATTGTGCCAACAGTATCGAAACTGGACCATTGGGTATCGATACTCATGAGTATCGATACCAAAATTTGCTTCGATGTTTTAAAAATACTATGGTATCGATAACCCTACAGGGAGTATCAATACCAAATTTTCTTCAATGTTTACAAAAATACCTCAATATCAATACTAACCATTTGAGTATCGATACTTCTTGAAGGGTTATCGATACTCCCCTTATAAGTTACTCGATTTTTGCCTTCTAAGAACAATAATATCTATATTATTCTTCCAGTATTGATACTAACAGACTTGGGTACTCTGTTTTGATCATGAAAACATACCCAAATCTCACCCATTCACTTGCCTAAGACTAACAAACGTTTTTAAAGTCTTGTTTGGTGTCTTAGAGGTAAAAAGGCGTCAACTTTCATGCTTGTAACACACAAATACGACTTTCACTATGAATTTACTCAAACATGCTTCATGAACTAAACTTACCATGACTTACATGCAATATGGTCAAGTTAGAAACGCGTTACCTTGAAGCTAAGTGACTGAAAAACATCCTTGAATCACCCAAGGACTAGTTTTTCCTTGCCTCTAGCTTTTGAGCTCTCCCCTTGCTTTTGCACTAATCAACTCAAGCATAATGATTTGTTAACTCATTTTGAACCTTAGGAAGAAGCTAGAAACGTTTTCTTAGAACTTAAAACTCATAAAATGAACCATAACTTAAGATTCTATAAACCCCCACTAAAACCCATTTTCGATTAACTAAGCCAAATCTTACTAATATGGGTTTGATTGAAACCTTGAATAGTGAGAAAGGTGAATCCTACCTTAGAATTCAAAATAGAGGTTTGGATTCCTTAAAGTTCCAAGCTTTTGTTTTTTATTGAAGATGAATGGAGATAATAGTGGAGAGGAAGAAGACAAGGCTTTTAGTGAAAAAAGATGAAATGATTTAGACATGAGATCATGTTTCATAAATGGAATCAACTTTGATTTGAAATAATGGGTTAATTACTCTCCTAGTCCTTCCACATTTTGGTCCAGACTAAAAACACCCTTTTTATAACTTGTTGCGCTCATAACAAGCCCAAATCAAATGTTATATGGATCAAACTCTTTATGGGCTAAGAGGATTTTATTCTAAGGTCCAAATCAGATATACCCGAAACTTATAACCTGGGATTTGAGGCATTACACAGAGGTCTTGTGTATGTGATATAAGATATCTAAAGGTTAATTATGCATTCATCCTCAGAAGTAAGGGATCCCTAAGTAACTTTGCGGAGGAGTCTATCTTTCTGTTGGGAACGCCAATACACCCCATGGCACAACGAAAAACTATTCAACGATCTCACCAGTAATCCATGTACGAAAACTCAAATTCGGGAGGAAGGGATGTGTGATTTACCTTGGGGTCTTGGAAAAACAGTAATTCGACAGTGAAGTCGCAAACAATTCGAATCCTAAGCATCCACAAAAATGTCTTGGCCTCTACGCAGTTCAGCCAGTTGAGAGCAAATATTTTTCTTCTTAAAAACTGTTTTTAATAAATTTTATCTAAAATATTTAGTGCAGTTGCTAGACCTTTCTTATCTTTATATATGAATTACCTTAAACTTTAGGGTTTCTTTTTAATTCTAAATTAAATAAATCTAAATTTATTTATTCTAAATTTAATATCCATTAAAATAAGTTTAATCATAATTACATTATTTTTAATATCCATTTATTATATTTGGGATAATTAAAATTATTATATATATATATTCTTCAATCATGTATAATAAATTGTATAATTAAAATTCGTTTAATATTTGCTCGTTTCAACCATAGGGTGTGACCTTGTAGGTTCCTATAACATTATTAGTAATTATTAGAACCATTATAATATTACAAACAATGAGTGACATCTAGAAATATATCATTTTCATCTAAGTTGCAAGAAATTATGATTCGACATAACAACTTTCTGACTTACTTTTTGTATGTATTGCATCCTTTTGTTCTTTATATAGAATAGGCACAAGTCTGGGAATAGTCACACTTGTATAGCCCATATATTATTTCTTGATATCTAGAGTAGACTTAAATAAATGACCAACTTGTGATATCTCATATCAACTTGTTCGAGCATGGCCATGCATTTCTAGTCTCACTCAATCAAGTGGCTTGTGATATATTTCCTATTATATAGGAAGGACAAATCCTATCTTGATCATTCACACCTCACTACATATATCATGATATGTTCAATATCAGTCTTTATAGTGCAACCATTTACGAAGCATGTTTAACTATATCAAAACATACAACAATATATGTTGAGATGGTAACGATCCCAAGTCTGAAGATCATACATATAGTCATCACCATGAGCAATGTTGTGACCGTCACATAATAATCCAATACACATGCTCATAGCGGATCAATCTAATATATTTTTCTCTAACAACATATTCATGTATCGATTTTGACATCTCTATGTCAATGGCAACTCACTATCATCAATCAACTCCATGTTATTCTTAAACGTATTATTATTATCCATGACCATACTAATACTTGACTAAGGATCTTTAATAATAATCATATTATTATATGGACTTTATTATCTTTCAGATTATTGTAAAAACAAAAATACAAGTAAAAATAATAGGGATAATGCCTTTATTCAATAAAATCGGTAAAGAAAAAGTATCATTACAATCATCTCATGATTGGTCTTTAGGCATACTCTAATACTTTGACCTTCAACTGGAGAGATAGTAGTTTCCAAAGATCATCTATATATATATACATATGGGTTAGGATCCACATACTCCTAGTGTAAAACCTTTAGTTTTACGCCTTTTTAGTATCGTTGGATGAGGGAAATCAAATGTTAAGATTAACTCTTTTTTTCTAGTGAATATCTTCTAATTTCCTATTGTTAATATCAATCTTCGATTTCCCCTCATCCAACGATCCTATAAAGGTGTAAAACTAAAAAGTTTTACACTGTGAGTGAACCCTAACTGTTAGAAAATAAAGGGTGGATTTACACACAAGGTCAAACGTTATTATTTTTTGATTAAGTAGAGAGATGTTTATATTCCTAAAGCAACTGATGGGATTGAAACCCACACAAGGATGAATAATATGAGCTTCCTTGAGGACTTAGTTAATGAATATCACTTGGCTTATTATTTTAAGGGTAAACTATACTAGTGACCTCTAATTATTACCTCTTTTCATTTTGACCACCATTTTTTAGTTTTTGTCAATCAGGTCACCCAACTATTTAAATGCATTCAATCAAACCACCTGCAATTAACACTTGACAAAACTACTGACGTGGCAGTTAATAAAATTGGTATAATTACACATTTGTTCCTCAATACTTATATATTCAATGAATTTAGTCGTGATTTTTATTTGTTTCAATAAATTTAATTTTCTAATCACATAGTGACACATGTTGCCGTTTAATTGAAGATTATTTTTTATAATGTCAATGTAACACCCTAATCCGATCCAACCCAAACTTAGGAGGATTTGAATGTCATATAAAACCACCAAAGTGGCTATCCATTTTTTAAACTAATGCTCATAATCACAATTTAAAAACCAATAGTTTAAAACAGTAATAAAA